TGAACGGGCTCCATAGCATTCTCCAAGCGATGGGCCAAGTCTGGTGACTTTGGCAAGCCCGATAACTATCTTGAGATTCCCTTTCGGACTCTTGCACCAATGTCTTAGCAAGCCCGATCCTCTGTCTTGAACCTCTCTGTCGGACACTTGCACCAGTGTCTCGGACCCAAGTTCCTAGCTCGTGACACTCTCCCCCACTGAACTTAGCGACGCCCTCGTCGCTGCACTCAACGATCCTGGGCAACACCACTCTGGATACTTTTCCTTGCCTTGGCTTGTTGCGGTCCTCCCATACGAACTGCTTGCCTTGGCTTCTGCCGCAAGTAACTTCACGATCCCTCGCGCCATACTTCACATCAACTTGGTTGCCTTTCGACGCCTTCGCTTGCTCATGTCCCCCCATAAGGACTCAGCCTCCCATAATGGTTGTGCTTGCTTCGGCTCTTGCCGCCAAGTGATGAAATGGGCTAACACGCCCACAAGTGCATCTCTTCCGTAGGAACTCTTTCCTACAAGTCTTGATTTGCCTCAACTTGGACCTCCTTGTCCCTTGCGGCAAAGTCTTGGATCCCATCCAAACTTTTTTCATCCGCGTTAAGAGTTAGGTCTTGCCCGACCTACACTCACTTAAAGTTGCAAATCAAGCTCACAAGAACACAAGAATAGTGTTGAGATGTACCTTCCCCTCTGATTTAGTTGGCATTTGCTCAAATTTTTGCGTCAGCCCTTCTTGCTCAATGAAGTCTGACACTCCCCGCATTGAACCCTTGTCATTGGAGTTCTTTGCGTCATCATGCATCGGCACTTTCTCGCGGCAAAGTCTGATGCCCCTCTTTGCTTCATCCCTTCTAACACGAAGGTTGGAGCTCGCTTCCCACCTTTGAAATGGGTGGTGTCTCCATGGTTGCCTTGTCCCTCAACGTCTTGGCCTCCTTCGACTCTTGTCTACGAGTCTTTGAAGGATTGTTCCTCTCTTGAACATCCTCGGTAAGCCCTTGTCTCGATTCCTTGGACATGGTCAACTCAGTCTGCCCTTGGCCTCTACTTGCTTTGGCAGAAATGAACCGTATTGAGCCAAGTCGCAACGCCCCTTCGATCCTTGGTTCGTCCTCTTCATTGGACAACACGATCCTGGGCTCATCCATTACCTTGGATGACTCGACTCCCCTCGGGTAATATTGCAACACTGTTGGCACCTCAAGTTTGCGCCCCTTCGGTTGCTCGACTCTTACCCTCGGCTTAGCATCTGTGTCACTTGAACTAGTGCACACATCATCACCAGATCCACCGTCCGGTTCATTGTTGAGTGGACTTTCCCTACCACTCGAGGAACAACATTCCTCATCCTTCGACTTGCCTTCATTGTGGGATCGCTTGCCGCTACCTTCGGCTCTCGGCTTTGGTTTGGAAGTCTTGTTCTTCTTGACTCCAAACTCTTTGATGGACTCCGCGGTTGTCAAGGCTTCAGATAGCTCCTTGACTTCCCTTCGCTCCAACGCCCTCTTTACCCACGGCTTCAATCCGAACATGAAGGTGAAGAATCCCTCTTCTTCAGTCAAACTTGGGACTTTGAGCATGAGTCTTCTGAATCGGCTTACATACTCCTTGAGTGTCCCTTTATGCCTAAGGCGCCTCAGCTTGGACCACGCCTCCATCCTGGCATATTGTGAGCGAACCTGCTCACTTTGAACCCTCGGCTTGACGGCTTTATTGCTTGTTATCTCACCGGGTCTTTCCTTGTGCTCGACTGCTTTGACACCCGCAGTCTCATCACGTCTCGATCCTGGCTTGACTACTTGAGAACTTGTAGTCGCACCATGCTTGCCCCTTGATTCGGCTACTATGGAACATGTAGCCTCGTCAAGTCTTGCCCCTGACTTGATTGCTTGATCATTCGCAATCGCATCTGGCTTCCTTCTCGGCTTGACCGCCTCATCTTCGACAGCCTTGCCTCGTCTTGATCCTTGCTTGGCCGCATTGATCCCATCAATCGGACCAAGTCTTTCCCTTGACTTGGCAGCTTGAACTCTTCTGCCTCCGCCAATGCTTGCTACTCCTCCTTCTCCCATCCTCTCCATGATGGTTGTAAGGCGACGCTTCTCGGGACATCCTCTAATCAAGTGAGGACCATCACAGAAGTAGCACTTTAACTTCTCCTTGCTCGCCTTCTTCTTTTCCCCGGACTTGGCCTTGCCATTCTTTCCCGATGGCTTTCCTTGGCCGCGAACAGTCGTTGGCTCAACTTGGCCACTCGAAGAGCTTTCTATACCATCTCCCCGCTGCACCTTTTCCCGGTCTCCCCCATTGTTGCCACTATCCCTGGGCATGGGCCTGGACGACACATCGCTCTTTGGCTTGACATCAGCAAGCTTGGTTAGCGTTCCGGCTACAGCTATGGCTCCCGAAAGTCTCTGGGCATCACCTTGCTCTTCCCCGAGCATCGCCCCTGGTCTAAGTCCTTCCAAGAAGGTCTTGAGCGCACCCCATTCACTCATTGCTTCCTTGCATATGAGTAGCTCCCTCTTGAGCTCATCCACCTCGCTTCTCAAAGCCGCTACCTCGGCTTCTTGGGCATTTCTCCCTCGAACCATCTCCAACTCGTCAAGAACTCGTTGCGTCTCGACCTTGAATCTGTCCTCCATGGACTCTAATCGATCAAGGCGGGATTCCACAACACCTTGGGTCTGCTTGGCCTCATCTTCGGCTTGTTCAAGTCTCCCGACCCTTTGTTCCCACGCAGTTGAGATATGCTCTAGATTAATGAGCTTCTCGGTATGGTCAGCAATAACTTCCATCCAATAAGCCCATTTCTCGTTCATCGTTAGCTCCTCGTCTGGTTCCTCATGAAGACTTTCCCCGTCATCATGAGAGAACCTTTCGTCTCGCTCGGACATACCTTCGGCGTCACCCTTGAGCCTCTCTACCTCGAGAACCGGCTCCCCTTGGTGTGCTATTGTTGCCTCGAGCATTCTCTGCGAACTCGTCACGGCATCCTCATGCTTGGACACCGATGATGCTCTTGAGCCCCTCGGACTCTCATCTTGTTTCCCACCATGGCATTCCTTGCCTTTGCGTGCGTAAACTCCTCTTTTCTTGTGCCCCATTCAATTATCAAAGTAAATTGATTGAAAGTAAGTAAAATAAACTTACCCGGTTTCACACCTTCGACCAAACTTGGTCGAAACGATCGTTGCTTGCCCACAACGACTCGCTCTGATACCACTTGTCACGCCCCTAAAACTTCGACGCCTCACACCGTCGGAATATCAGAGTCAAGGTCTGACGGGTCGTGCGGCCTTAGACGCTTTAGACGCTCCTCGGTCTTCTCGGTGACTAAGTAAGCCTTACCCAAGCTAAGTGAGTGTGCAAACTCACAAAGGTTGGAACCAAGCCCTCAAGGCTTCGGATTGCGGAAGCTTTAGAATGCCGATAAGGTCGGACTATCGTGTGGAAGTGCTAACACGAAGGTGGCTACTCCTGGCCACCGAGATAGGCAACAAGAACAAAGAAACTAAAGAACTCAGAAAGATAGGGCAAATGCCTTAGAGCTTTATTACTCTCTCACAAAGAGAAGAATGGAATTGGGTGATTACAAATGAGGAGGAGAGCTCTCTATTTATAGTTGAGCTCCCTCTCAATCAATGGCCTAGATCATTTTACATCAACGGCTAAGATTTGCCCAATTAATGACAAATCCCCTAAATCAAGGAATTACAACCAAATCCTTCCTAATTACATCCATTAGTAGGATTCCTTCCTTGGATAGGTGTTCACACTGGATATGGTAAGATTTTCCCACAATATCTTCCTGATTTTGTTGCCTCTTGCCATATTTACCGAGCTTCTGTTATCATCTTCAGATATGATGCCACTTTCCTTTTCTGCACGGCCAATGTGAACGGGCTCCATAGCATTCTCCAAGCGATGGGCCAAGTCTGGTGACTTTGGCAAGCCCGATAACTATCTTGAGATTCCCTTTCGGACTCTTGCACCAATGTCTTAGCAAGCCCGATCCTCTGTCTTGAACCTCTCTGTCGGACACTTGCACCAGTGTCTCGGACCCAAGTTCCTAGCTCGTGACAAAATACTGAACTGCAACTTGTAAATACTTAATGCATACACGGAATAGTACATTGATGGTGTACCAACATGATTGATGCCTTGCCGACTCTAATAAAGTCTCCCATAACGCGGAGGACATCGTCATTCATCACTCCCCAAAGTCCATCACCTGTTAAATACTATACTACGGATTTTATAGAGATTAATTATGGATAACTCTACTAACTTAATTTAATTTATTAACAAATATCAGGATCTCTCTAATATATTATTATACTAGACTAACTAATTGTTGATAAATACTAATTAATTAAGTATTATTTGGACGGCCTCCATAAAGGATATCATTTTTCCACAAATTAGTCAATGTTTAGGGCTATCTGGAGCATGGTCAGTAACAATTGGGAGAAGTTGTACTAGTCACAAATTTGAAATAGAAGAAAATTGAAGAGTTTGAAAGCTTACTAGTATTTTAAAGATGAAATATGTCGTGATTATTATTTCAATCAATAATGGCAAAACGTTGAAATAATGCAATGATAAAATTTCCACATACTTTTTAAATGTAGCATTCAAATAAATACTATTTTAATAATGAGGTGATCTGAAATGAAATCTGATATGTATACAAAATATAATAAAAAATAAATATAAAAAGAATAATCAAGTGCAAGAGTAATATAGACCCAAAACATAAGGACAAAATTGAAATATTTATGAAGTTTAAGTACTAAATATTAATTTTTCCTTTTACTTTTTCTTCCAAATTGGCCTACTCCATAAGAAACAAATCAACGAGGGATCTTTTTGGGCAATTAAAAGAAATAGTGTGCGAACCGCAAACTATTTATTTTATTGAGGCCAAACTAGAAATAAAATGAGTATTCGCCACGCGCCCACGCCATCGTATTCTCTCTCCATATGGTAGGAAAACTAGTCTCCTATTTCTCTTTCCAGCACAGGAAAAAAATACCTCAACTCAACTCAACTCAATCCTCCGAAAAATGGCTTTCCCTCGGCAACAGTTTCAACAACACTACCAACCTCATCAACAACAAGAGCAACAACAATCTAAAAGTTTCAGGTAATCCCCAAAAGAAAAGGAAAAAAGATCGATCTTTTGGTTATTACAAAAATCAATTTTGATTTTCTGCTAAAGAGGAAACAAAACCCTAAAAAAGCTATTTGAATCTGTTTCTTTCTAATATGTAGTCTCAGGAACTTGTACGCAATCGAGACTCAGATTTCACCTCCACTTGCTTATTACGACACGCCTAATTTACAAGATTCGTCGCAGCATCCTCCTTATATCCCTCCTTGTAAGCCCTTTCTTTCTTTTTCTTTTTTTTAAAAAAAAAACTTTCTTTAAATTTTTTCTATTTAATCGATGAAGAATTATATGTTGATAAATTAAAAACTGATTCGTTTCTGCTAGTTAGCGTGAACTTACAACATATTTATCTCTCTCCTTTTACTTTTAAGAATCAAATTGGGTTTGTTGGGATTTATTTATTTATTGTTTTTCTTGGTTCAGTTCATGTTGTGGGGTTTGCTCCGGGTCCGATTCCGTTGGCTGATGGGAGTGGAGGAGCTGAGATGCAATGGAAAAACGGGGGTGAACCTAAAAGGAAGAAACTAAAGGAACAAGATTTTTTAGAGAACAACTCGCAGATATCTTCTGTTGACTTTTTGCAAGCAAGGTCAGTCTCGACAGGGTTAGGTTTGTCACTTGACAATAATAATAATCTTATGGCTTCTTCAGGTGATTCAACTTTGTTGTCACTCATCGGTGATGACATAGATAATGAATTGCAGCGACAGGATGCAGAGATTGATAGGTTCCTCAAAGTGCAGGTCAGTCTTTGTTGTCTTTATAGTTAATTGGAAATAAACATGTTTCATTATCTTCCATGGTTGTTGCAAGGATTGATTTATTATTTCAGGGCGTCATTCACACCATATGTGGATAGATATAGATTTTACAATCATTTAATGGTTGTACACTATCAAGCTTTTGAGCTAAAAATTTTCTGCTACTGTTTGTTTCATAAGGAAATTATTTCATATTTGCGCATATGATTGTGGTTGTTTTGTCCTAACTGCATGCTGGTTTTGAGGATGACTTGAGCATTTGCATGTCGGCATATGTTCATTATGTTTTCCCTTTAACATTTAACTTTTAGTATTGGACTTTTTGTGATAGAAATGTTCTTCCCCATGCTATGTCATTATTTTGTAGAAGTGATAGGAAGTAAAATATGTTTTAGTCCATCTGTAATTTCCCCCTTGTCACTGATTATAGTTTTCTTCATCATTTGCTTTGTTCTGCAGTTGTTTTCTCAAAATAAACTATGTTATTTATAGAAATGAAGGCAATTCTGTCTATGATAGAAATTAACTGATATTTTTTTACCTACACAGAAACAATGCTAACTTCAATTAATCAATTTTGATGAACCCATCATGCTCAGTTATTCTATAATCCAAGGATGTTTCTGCTCTGCACACTTTGAATTAAAATCTTCCCTGAAGATGATTTATAAGGATTATTCTCTTTTCTTCTTCTTCTTCTTCTTCTTCTTCTTTTCCTCTCTCCTTCAGGACCTTCACAAGGTTCTGATGTTAGTTGTGTGTATTATTTGTTATTGGTTGTAAGTGAAAGTGAAATATTATAATTATATTGAGTATGGTGGTGAGGTTCATGGCAGTGAATCCTACTTTTCGTTGTTTGTTTTAATATCAACTTGCTATCCTTGTCGCACAATATATATTTTAATCATCAAGCATTTCTGAATTTTACTTCTAGTGAAAGTACTTCTAATCTGCTCTTCTTTAATTAGGGTGACCGATTACGACAATCTTTTTTGGAGAAGGTTCAAGTGAACCAGCTTCAGACAATTTCACTTGTGGAAGAGATAGTTTTTAAGAAACTTCGTGAAAAGGAAGCGGAAGTGGAGAATATAAACAAGAAGAACATGGAACTTGAAGAGCGTATGGAGCAATTGACCATGGAAGCAGGTTCCTGGCAGCAACGTGCCAGATACAATGAGAACATGATTACTGCTCTCAAGTTTAATCTTCAGCAAGTTTTTGCTCAAAGTAGAGATAGTAAAGAAGGATGTGGTGATAGTGAGGTTGATGATACAGCTTCATGTTGCAATGGCCGAGCCATTGATTTCCACCTGCTCTGCAAGGAGAATAGCAACAAGAAAGAGTTGATGACTTGTAAAGCTTGTGCGTTGAATGAAGCGCGTATGCTCTTGTTACCTTGTTGGCATCTCTGCCTGTGTAAAAGTTGTGAAAGTAAGCTTAGTTTTTGCCCCATATGCCAGTCATCCAAGTTTATTGGTATGGAGGTCTTTATGTAATAATATACGTATCAAAGCTTTAATATAATACTAAAGTTATATCCAGCGATCTTGTGAAATGACGGTTGCCAGTTGGTTGCTAGTTTTCTGTTCAAAGGCCCATTTTAACATCTGTTTTAAAAGAAATGTCTTGCATTTCATATTAAGAATTCGACACCTTCACCAACTTAAGTTGTTGGATGAGTTCTGATTGTTACTGTCTTATTCTTTGTTCTGTTAATGGTAGTTTTCATGTTTGCGTCGCATGTGCTGCCTGGTTTTATGTATTTTAAGAAGCAAGTTGTTCGGGAGACGTGTTATATGGTGATTTATGAGAATGTTATTGATGTGAGGTATCTTTCTAATGATTGGATAAGTGTTAGAACACGGACAGATCAACCACGTATGAGGTATTTGGAGTCTTTTTAACGTAAGTGGTCATAATGCAGTAGCTGAAACATGCATTGTGGGAGTTTATGAAGTTAGTTTAGGTTGAGGTAAATCCCAGGCTTGTACGGAATGCTTCATGGATAGTGAGGAAAGGTTTCTCTTCCAGTCCAGTATTTGGTTACTGCATATAAAATGTTTGAAGCTGCAGTATAACACCATCAGTCAACAAAGATGAACTGATTACACTTGCTTTTTTTGTTAGGTGTATTTTTATATAACTAAAATCATACTCGAAGGTAATTGAGTCATGGATCCATGTTTCTGTTGTTTAGTCATTAGTGTGGGTATGTTGTTCAAATTAATATAATAAATAAAAAAATAAGGATAAAAAATAAATTGAAAATTTTACTAATAAAATAAAGTTAAAAAAATTACCTTTCGATAATAGGAAACTCAATCGGACTGATTTAATTGGCGTAAAAAAAAAAGAACCGGTATGACGTCCAAGATTGTAGCAGGATTAGACAACCCGCTACATTGGCTTTTTGACCCCATTCAACGATTATAGCCTTGCAAAGTTCCCGATTTAAATATGTCAAAATCGCTGAGCCCCAACGAGTGTTACGATAATTAGTAAAATTATTAAATATCGAAAAATACCAAGTGTGCGCCAAATTCTCAGATTTATCCGGTAACAACATTCCTCCAATCAATTTGAGAAGATACGCTTGGGCTACAAATATGACCTCATCATTGGTAAAGTCGTTAGTCAAATGAAATTCGAACTTCAACCAAGTTATCCATATCCGATACTTGTCTAAGACCTTTGGTGGTTGCATATTTCCAGAACTTCCTCAACAATAGCGAATCAATTGTAATCATTGTGCCTCACTAGTGTCGCACCATTAACTGGAACACCGAGTTCGTAAAGACATATTCTAACGTAATCGTCGTTTCACCACTAGAAAAATGGAAAGTATGCGTTTCGGGCTCCAGCGTTCAATCAACACCGAAAGTAGTGTCGAGTTCACCTTAAAACCAAGTAGAAATGTGATTAGATACAACCTAGATTGTTATAGATATATAATAATCCGCTGATGCGGATCTCTAAGTGTCATTCCTCGTTGACGAATATCATGTTCTTCTTCCAGAGTGAGTTCAAACTAAGAAATATGGACATCAATGCATAATATTTCGTCTAGGGTAGACATTTTCAAGAAAGTGAAGGACATATGCTCGCACGAGTGAAGACTATCAATCCAGGTTTTGTTACAAATGCAAGTCCTTATGGAATAAAGTGAGAAATAATAAGGTACCGCAAGGTGAACCAAATACAAAGTGTCGAATATCAAATCGAGTCAAGAAAAACAAAAGTTATTCGAATACAAGAAATAATTTGTACTCAAATAGAAGTGCATAATTCTTCAAATAAAGAGGATAAGAAGCACATACAAAGAGTCCATCAAATCAAATGACTCATCGAGCCTCAAACTATAAGGTTAATCAAGTACAATTGGTTCAAATATCTCAAATCAATTCACAAGAAGATCAATGAGGAAATGAACTATGGAGTGAAAACCCATAAATGGACAGTTTAGAGGGATCCAGAAAAATAGAAAAATAAAGGACATATTGTAAGCATATTCAAATCAAACAAAACAAGAGTGAAAGTATCAAGACAAATTGATCCGTGGTTCAATCAGAAATATTTATTTGGGCCTATTTATCCCTTTATTTCATAACAGTGAACAATAACCTATATTACATGGCTAAAAAGTTTCTTCTGATCATACATGAATTTCTAAAAGTAAAAGAGACTATCTCTAGATTTCATTCCGTCTCCCAAGATTAATCTTTATTTGTAAAAGGTTTTCTAAAATCTTTAATACATGATAAAAATAACAAAATGTGGGTTCATGATGTAAAACTTCTGATGACGTCTTGAAACCAAAGGAGGGTTTGATTTGAAAACCTGAAAAGGTAGCTCAAATATGCAGATTGTGCAGTTGTTACATTGAAGGTGGTCTTATAAATCTCTCGATAAGGCACAAAACAACCCAAATGCGCTCATGAGAGCTGAGAACCAATGAAAATCTAAAAAAGATGAGCATAATAACTACTTCATTTGATCAAAGAACACTAAAGAAGGTCTTGACCAAAAAAGCCAACCTAAAATACCATCAACTTCCCAAATCAACCTAAACCTCAAAGTTAACATTAATCTTGACACTTGTCAATGGGTCATAATCTTTAAAATGATTAAAAGAGCAGTTGATTCTTTTGATATCTAATGAACTCTTGTTTTGTAATTTGTCTCAATTGTGAACCTAAAGTAATAGACAACATTTAAAAAAAAGCTTCATCAAACAATTCTCAAAATCTTTTCATCAAACATTTTCAAAACTTTCTCACTAATATTTTTTCACTTTTGAAAATAAAAAGATAAACAAAAACATTTTTCAAATAAGACAATCTTTTTGGAGTAGATCTTAGGAATTAGCAAGTGTCTCTCATACACAAAAGTTTGATCAGAACTGTGGCAAGAAAAGATGAAATTTTGGGCCAAAATTTATTGGGGCAAGATAAACAAATTGACCCAAGTCAAGAACTGAATGGGATACCCCATGTGTGATCTTAATCAATCAAATCATTTCAAGAAGATTCAACCTTCGCAAAAAGTCTAGTTCTTCGAATCAAGTCAACAAAGATAAATCAAAGACAACAGTAAACATACTAACTATTGTGGTTAAGCACCAAATAGAGGAAATTTCATCAACTATGACTGAAGATCATTCACCAAAAGCGATGAAGTCTTAGTTCCCATATCAAATCATACAAAGTTGCATCAAACATTCATCACAACCACATTACATCATTTTTAGGACATACCGTATATGAAACACACGGAATCATAGCATATGACATTTTCAAATACGATCCGAGAAATTCATCTTAGTAGTAGATCAGTCATCTTTCAACTATGACTAGACCTCCTCAACGTGAATGAGCAATGTCATCGTCGGATTTGACATCGAGTAAATCACCCAAAAGCAACCAAATCTCTTCAACACGTAGTATCAATGTCGTTTACAAGATCAAATTATCTCTAAACAATCAGACTTCCTAAACATGAAGAAATAAAATCGTCTTCAAGCACATAAATATTCAGGCAAGAGTAGTCTTCTTCAACATGAATGAACAATGTCATCAGCAAGTTTAAAGCCCTCAAATAAAGATCAAATCACTGAAGCACGACCAAACGTCCTCAACATGAAAGAACAATCTCAATTTCAGGATTTTTGATCCCCAGACAAAGGACTTAATTTTCATACTCAGCGTAAGAGCCCAAGTCAGACAAAATGGGTCATTATTTATCTTTTATTCATTCTTATTTCATGACATCAAGCAAAGAGTGACAGCTGTAATAACTTGATTTTGTCCGAGTTAACCAAAATTGGGCCCAAAACCTAAAACATGGAGAAACCCTAGCTAATCTAACTTTAACCCCACGCTGTACATCCACTGTTTCAGTCAGACTTCCTTTGTTTCAAATTTCAGCAAATCTAACTAAATTAATAAACTAATCTAAAAAATCAAACAAAATCAATGGAAACACCATACTTTTTTAAAACAAACTCCTCGAAAAATATGGGGAGTTCATACCATCTTAACCACCCACCATCATCACCCTCACCAAACAGCAAGTCATGGATATAACATGCAATCAAAGAAGAGAGAATGGGGAACCATTCTAACATTTTTGGAATAAAGAAAATGTGATTAAAAAAATGAACCAAATTCAAAAATGAAAAAGAGAATGAGAAATTATATGTTTCGTCGATCATCGGAGATTACTTTGGTTCATCGGGAAAACCAAAAGGTCACCAGAAATTAGAGAAATCAAAGGAATTTTCTTAGATATACGGCAGTAGAGGCATTTCTAGGCTAAATGGTGGCCGGAGGTGGAGATCTTCGTGACCGAAGGAAGTTCACCGATTCTCTAAGTAAAGAGATGAGAGAATTTTTTTAAAGAAAATAAAAGAAAAGAAAAAAAATGATGAAATGAAAAAGTGAAGAGAAAAAAAGTATTTATAGTTTCATCAAAAAAACGTTTTTTTGGCACTCCAACCTGGGTATTTTGGGATTTCAGGGGATAATCCCTCCTTCGATCCCTCCAAGTTTCTCTACGTTTTCAATTTGATCCTTAATTGCACGAATTGAATTATGTTCTCTTTAATTTGGCTCCCTGTAATTTTTATTAATTCATTTCAGTCCCTTGACAACTTTATTTACTTTTATTTATTTATTTATTTTTGTTATCTTTACTCTTTATTTTTCATTTATTTTAATTTTATTTAAATGCATGACCATTTATGCTTGGTTTAGTTTTATTATTCTAATTTATTTTTATTTTTGGTAGATTAATTTATTCCATAATATTTATGAGAATTTTATTTATTCCTTAATTTTAGTTATTACCTACCAATTTTCAACCAAAGTCTTCCTTTTTTTTATTAATTAGCCATTTCTACTTATTATGTTATACATTTTTAGTCCTTGTACTATTATTATTACTATATATGTATTTATTTCACATCTTTATGTAAATATTTAATATTAAATATATGATATAATATTATATGTAAACGGTATATTTATTAAGAATGACATTCTTATTTTATTATTATTATTATTATATTTTATAAAATTTTCTTTTCAATGTTTTAGACATTTATAAAAAAAAATTTGTTGTTCGATTAACCTGTGGAAGACCTCCACAAATCTGGAGTGCCCTTTAGAAGGTTATTCGAATAAAGCGGACATTTTATTATTAT